GGTCTTCAAAGTGTGTCTTGAGGGCTTCGGGCTCAGCGGATTTGGGCTTGCATTCAGCTCGATGGCAGGAATTCTGTTGTGGGGACAGGGCTCGAGGAATTTGGGTATTAGGGTTTAGAGGTTTACGGGTTTAGGGTTTGGGGTGCAGGGATTCAGGATGTAGTGTTTAGGGTCCAGCTTTCTTGTCACATGTGAGTTTTCACAGGGTACAACACGATTCTTGATTGCAAGGGTTTAGGGTCCGGCTTGCGTGTTTGTAATGATATGCGAAGTTCCCTCAAACCCCTGAATACACACCACCCACCTCAAAAACAACAACAGCACAGACATCTGACTCCGACTGCAACAAAACGTCTCAAACTGAAAAGCCTCATGATCGAATGTTTCCCTGACACGAACGCCCCAATCCTCGCACGATCTTCGACTGAGAATACATTATTAATATTGATTAGATTATCATGTTTGTTTAGAGTAGAAACCCTACAGTTGGAAACCCTATTAAGAGTAATGGGACTCCCAGCACAAAGTGTTCTTAATACGGTTTGGGGATGTTATATTTTAAATTCTGGATCCTGCTCGGCTTCCAACACAGATCTATGTGGCATATTAAATTTGGGTCTAACCTGGTTTTGGTCAGGGCTGCTGAGGCTGATTCGTGGATATATCTTCTAGAATGGCGTCTTGGGGTGCCATCGACATACATCTGCTTCAGCTATTAATTTACTATGCAATAACGACGACTACTCCGACTGCAACTCCGACTCCGTCGTCTACTTCATACGTTTTTCTACTACGCCTACCACAACGATGACTCCTACTACTGCTCCTGCTCCTGCTCCTGCTTGTACTACTATATATGACTCATAGCTACACACTGCTACTGCTGCTGTTAGTGTTCCTGCTCCTGCTCCTGCTCCTGTGCCTGCCTGCTGCTACTACGACGACGACGACGACGACGACTACTACTACTACTACTACAATACTACTACTAGCCACCATCACCCCCACTTTCTACTTCTACTAGTTGTCGTCATCAACGGTAGGAGCGCGTGCCTCGAACCGCGAGCCTCCCTCGGACTTGCAGATCAGCTCCTGCAAGGAGCAGACTTCTGGGGGAACCCAGTGGACACTCTCAGTTCGGTAGGGTTCAGGGGTTGCGGGACAAGGCTACATGCCTGTAACCATGCTCCTTGCAATCAGAAGCCAGGTGAGGTCGCAAGCGTCCGCATGTCTCCTGGCTGCACGCGAAAGGCTTCACTGGGTTGCAAATGCGAGGAGGCGGGACCAGTATCGAGTGCTCCCGATATCGCGGGACTAGTCTCGACACTCGCAAAAGCATGGACATGAAGGTCCGGAGATTTTGTGGCATGACCACGCCTTCTGCAATCATCATCTTCGTTGAATCGGGCCCCTTTCAACTTTGTCACTGAACAACCGAGGGCTTTACAGTTCCCGAGGACTGAAGCCCACAAAAGGGCGGGGATTTGCAAGCTCGAAACCACAGCTACGCTCCCACGCAAGTGCGGTGGCGCCAGATACCTGTAACCTGCCGGTTCCAACATGCCCTACTGTGCAAATGCTGATTTCATCCTCTGTCAGCAGGTAGTCGCTGAGATCCAGAACAGGCGGCCTGCGCAAGAGTCTGCTATGAGGAGATCTACACCTGTCGATCCCCAAAAGACTTGGCGATGGACTTTGCAAAACCGCCCCATCATGGCTGGGCCCTCGGCAGTGTCACATGCTTGCCATTCTTCTCAAACTTGGTGCCGCTGCGCCGGAACCTGTCAAAGCTTCAGGCTGCGTCCTACGGCTCTGTGTTGAGAAACACGCAGGACATCTGGTCAGCAAGTCGTTGACGGTGTCCGTAGTGGAAAGAAGTTGAGAGGCTTCCCGTTTGCACCTCTTCATGTGGACCGTCAGCAGTGGTGGCAGAGGCTGACAGAGCCAGACCTCACAAAGCAATGCAACGATCTACTTCTTCGGAGAGGATGATCAAGAGAGAGCGTCTAGACACACGCTCTCCTAGATCACTGTTGGGTCTCCCACAAGCTCAAAAGATGGGAGCAAGGACATCCGTGCTTTTCTGTTGAGTGCCGGGCCCTCCGGGAGGCAAAGCTTCTAGGGAGAGCCTGGCTGGACTTCCGCTGACACCAGGCTGCGCAAGCTTACGGCTTAGTGCTCAAGGAGAAGAGCAAAAGCAGTAGGGCCATGAAGGCTTCAAGGCTTTGGGGCGTCGGGTTTTGCAAAAAGACCCTGAACTCTGATTCCAGCTAGAGGCAGGGACCGGCTTCGGCAAGGACAAGCTCGCCCCTTTGATTTGATTCAGTGCAGCCCAGAGCCTTCCCAGCTGCACTGACATCTCTAGCAGTCAGCAGCCATGCGGGCTTCATACAACCGCTCCCGCTTTGAATTCTTCATTGTTACTTCCAGGCCTCCTTCTGCTTTGCTGTTGTTAATCTTTCGATCTTCGAGGACGGTAATGACACAACCGCATATCAGACTAACGTTCTGGCAGTGGCGAATCGAGACTCAGCTCTTTTTGCACAGCGCGTGCATCTCTTCCGGTCGGGATCTGGCCAGCTACTTTGGGTTCAAGCGCTGCCGAGTGGGAAATCGCTGACATGAGCTGTTGGGAGTAGAAGTGGAGCATGCCGCGGATTTATGGCTTGGGGTTTAGTTTAGGGCTGACTACCAAAATTCGAGTACCTCAATGGGGTTTCCACAAATAGGGGACCCTAATATAGCACCCTAAACAATAGGATCCTTATTCCAAGGACCCCAAAATAGGGTACCCTAATTTTCGGAAACTCCTCCACAGAAGAGATATCTCACTTCAGCAGCTTTTGGGGTCCTTATAGTAGGGATCCTATTATTTAGGATACCGTATTAGGGTCCCCTATTTTCGGAAACCCCCATATCTCACCTCAGCAGCCGGAACCATCTGGCTCAGAGCCCTCGCTCCTCTTTCCAGGCATAGAACACGGGCTTCAAGCGCTCCCTTGGTCGGGTGTAGCCGTTTAGGGTCGAAGGCTCAAGGATTAGAGTTTAGGGTTTCTGGTTTAAAGTTTAGGGTTTAGGGTTTAGGGTTTAGGGATTATGGTTTAGGGTTTAAGGTTTAGGGTTTAGGGTTTAGGGTTTAGGGTCTAGGGTTTAGGGGTTTTTAGTTTTGTCGAGGCCAAAGCAGCGACGCCTGATGAGCTCCGTGTGACCACTGAGCTCCCGGCTGGAATGACACCCAGTCCACCATCCTTCAGATATAGGTTTAGGGTTTAGGGTTTAGGGTTTAGGGTTTAGGGTTTAGGGTTTAGGGTCTAGGGTTACAGGATGCCTACAGGCTAAGGGATGCATACACCGAGAATGTCGGAACTCGGTCGTTTTGCGGCCTTGCAACAAGCTGAACATAAGCCTGGATGGCCACTGCGAAACTACCAACACAACACATAAATTTACGTCTATTTACCTCCACTATGTGAATGTATAAAGTACACATCATGCACACTTGCTAGTCAAAGATCACGACAACTCTGGAATGCATAGTTCCGGAAGCTGCGATCAGTAGATGTTGACGTACAGCGTAGGCCATGAGAGCAACCACATAACCAACCAACGTGCAGAAAAAGCGTCGGGATGCGGGAAACACACCGACAGTCAAACCAAGACACAGAGCCACCAGAGCCGAACTATGAAGTACGTACACTCCCGTTCATGAGTGCATCAAGATGAACGAAAGACAAATAGGTAGTAAGTATCCAATTCATCTAGAGCCTATGTTCGTGTAGCTTGCAAACAGAACTGCGTTTCTGGCTGGAAGCCAAAAGGGTCAGTTAAAACAGCTGAGTTAGCCTTCTCTTGATCCGAGTTCCTACTCCAACTCCATTTGCTAAGCGCTGCTGGACTTCCCTAACCTCTAAAGCCATACGCCCCAAGCCCCGTATCACCAAACAACCCATCGAGACCATGAAACCTGACCTTTTTTGAAGTCATGCAAAGCAGACAACCCTAAACCCTAAACCGCCTATCTTGGCCTCCTATGAACTTCCTTCCGAGATCCGGGCTGCTCTTGACTGCGCCACGAGATGGCATCCACCTCGCGGCGCTCACTGCGGCCGAAGCCGTGGCTTCATAGGATCTTAACCTGAAGCCTTTTGCCGTTATTTGGGCTTGGGGTCAGGTGACGAATCCTCATGACTTATAGCACTCTGTCTCTATGTGTGTGCAGATTCGAAAGGTATGTACCTATGTGTATATACATACATACATAC